CAAATTTCTTTGTCATCCCAGTGCCCAGCTCAGGCTCTGACACACAGTAGGTGCTCAGTGAAAGCTTCCTGGATGAATGAACAGTACCAGGCAGCTCTTGGATATGAGTAACAGCCTACTCTCCCCCTCTCTTCAAGCTCCATAGATGGCTCAGCTTGCCTCTGACCCCAAGAAACTTCTGATTTCCAGTTGACCATCTTATTCAAGAAATAACCTCTGTCCTCTCCAATGCTCTAGGACAGGAGGGGACAAAGGACATAGGCTCGAGTTCCTCTGATGAAAGTTTTTCCTAATTCTCCCATCATTTAAACAAACTGGGATCCTGATTGATAGAAGAGCCGTTTTCACACAGACTGGGAAAAATGGCTTTTAATATCAGTTTTTAAGAAAGAAAGTATGGCCCCTATAAACTGTTAAACTTCACTTTATTGACCATAAATCTGTATTTTGCTCAATGCAAAAGTTTTTCATCTTGTACAGAAAAATGCTGAAACAGCGACAACTGCCGAAAACAAGAAGTTTTCTCTTACGGACAATTTATATGAAAAAGTTATTGAATTTCTGGTTAGGGAGGCCAGACCAGGCATCTCACAGCCTTCCCCCCACTCCCAGGGCCAGGCCAGCGGGTGCCAGACACGACCCCTTGCTGATCAATGTCAAGAGAAAATTAACCAATTGTAAGTCTATTAAGTTGTGGGCACCAGGGATTTCAAAGCCCAGGACAAAAATGTGCTTCTCCCTGAGGACATTAAACTGAAGTTTTCTTTGCTAAAAGTGCCATCAGCCTTTCTGCCCAAGAAAGGAAGGAAGAGCTGACTTTGGGGAGCATTTATTAGCTACTAGGAGTTTTCACAATTACTGTCTCTTTTAAACCTTGGAAACAACCCCACATTTTATAAATGAGCAAGTGGAAAATGAGAGAAGGCAAGTAACTTATTCAAAGTGTTACCATTTAGAAGTTCCTAGTTAATTTTGAGCCTCAGTTTCCCCACCCATAAAAGGAATCTGAAAGGACTTAGCCCGAGACTGGCACAGAGTTGATCCTCAGGAAATGCTTGCTTGCTTCCTGAAAGCAAGTCTGGCTGATTCTAAGAACCATGCTTTCCCCTACAGACAGCCTCCTTGTCAGTCTCTGAAACCAGTTTCCTTAAGGAAGCTGGACCTCCTGTGTATACACAGAACAAAGGAGCAATATTCTGCATAAAGGAAATCGGCACATCCTCAAAAGTGTGCATTTTGACAAGGACCTGGCAGGACCCTTCAAAGGACCTGCTCTCACTGCTCCAAGTGCAGCAATTTTACCATCAGAGCCACACATTCTTGAGTTGAACTATTTTCCTATATCACAATGAAAATGCTCCTCATTGAGCTAGCGTGTAATTTTTAAAACCTGTTAATATCAGAGCTGGAAAGGGTCCCCAGCATTATCTAGTCCAAGAAGATCCTGTGGGGTACATCTAGTAAATCAAGTCCTGCTGACTTGTTGAGCCTGCCTGGAGGACCGTGTTGAGAAGGATTCTGAGGTAGGATCCAGGCTCAGTGGAAATAGTATTTGATTAGCAGTCTGCTTTAGGTGGAAAAGCAACCTAGCAGAGAGATTCACGAAAGCCTCTTCGATGATCTTCTAACCTCCAGATTCTGTTTTCCCTGGCCTCCTCCAACTTACCCTTCAACAAAGTCACCTAAGTGATCTTCCTCACTCACAGGTATGCTTGCGTTAATCTCCCCTATCAGCCAGACAAGATGCAAATCCTTTCATGAGCTGCTCCGTCCTCTCTCTCTAGCCCACCTTCTATCACTGCCCTTACAGGTTACATCTCAGCAGTACTGAACCACTTCTGTTTCCCCTGAGCACTTCTGTTTCCCCTGAGTTCCCCCAGGGCACTCCATGTTTTCTCCTAGCTCTATAATTTTTCACCCCATTCTGCATAGGATAGCCTCTCCACAACTGCTCAAATGGCAAACTCCTATTCATCCCTCAAAACTTTAATGCAAGAGTAAATCCTGTGAAGCTTTCATTGACTCCCCCAGTAGGCTTACATGCTTCTTCTCCAATGTTCCCACCATACCTTTTACATTCTTCTAATTGAGTCCTTCTTGCATTGCTGTGAGCCTATTAAATGTAGGAACACAATATTTCATTTTCCTCTGTTCCCTGAGCATCCACCTTAAACTCTAGCACAATAACAGACAGTAAGTATTGGGGTGTGTAAATGAATAAGTGAATGAATGAATGATAACTTCCTTCCCCAATGTATATGCTTGCTCATCAAGTTTTGAAAAAAAAATTTGGAAAATCAAGATTGAAAAAAGACCTTTCAAATATATACATCATTGTGTTGATACAGGTGCAAGGAGAAATGGAAGAAAACAGAGTCTCTGCCCTCATGGGGCTTATAGTCTAGAGGAAAAGAAAGTTAATGTAAGAGAGACAAAGACAGAGATAGAGATGCACACATACATGTGTATATACATGTGTTGTGTGTGTGTGCATGTGTTGTTTAAAAATGAGAAAGATGTAGTGATGATGAGCATAGCACTATGATGGTAACAAGATATGGACCACTTAGCAGGAGTTTTGGAGAAGATAACAGGATCAGATATCCAGGGTGAAAATTAGTGGGAGGGATCCTAAGTACACAGAATCCTGTGCACACAGAAAAAGTCTGCAAAGTTTTCAAGATAGTGAAGAAGTTATTGTATCTGGAACTGAAAAGAAACCATGGAGGCTGGAGTGGAATGAAGGAAGGGAAGAGGAACTTAGGGCTCAAGAAAAACAGAGGTTGATCATGCAAAGCCTTGTCAAAGTGAAGAGCTTGGAATTTTTGCTATGGGCAGTAGGGAGCCATGGGAGAAATTTGAGCAGCAGCATCACAAGATCTAATTAACCTTTTAAAGCAATCACTCTGGATTCTGTGCAGGGAATGTCTCAGTGGAAGACAATTATAGTCATGAGGGCAAGAGATGATATTGGTTTGACCATGGATGGTGAAAAAGAGTGGATGGATTTGGAGCATGTTTTAGAAGAAAAGGCAATAAGACAAACCCATCTGGCTCCCTTTCAAGCAGGATCAGCACAAAACTCAAAATAGTCCTTCCTCATGTGACACTATTCCTCAATTGTTCCTCTGGTCTTCTGACTTTGGAAACAATTTGCTCCATGCCAGGGAAAGAGAAGCAGGCTGGAGGCATCCAACTCATTCATCCTGACATGTGAGAATATAGAACGAAGGTCACCTGGTTGGCTGGAATCCCTGCCCAGCCTGAGCCACCAACGTAGAGCTGGCACAATTCCAGAGTAAGTCCAAACAGGAATTGTCATCTACAAAACAGACCTTTCTAACCATGCTTTGCTAATAGTTGAACTCAAATGCCAGAAAGGGTAGTATAAGGTAGTTTTAGGTTTTTGGGAGATAAAAAGGGTGCAGAAAACAATTTATAGGTAAAAAGAAATTGACCAAATTTGTGTAGGCCTCTACCTCTTTCTAGGCTTGGTTTCTAAGTTGAGTATGAATTCATAGGTGCCTATCACTGTATTTCTGGAATAACTTGGAATATAAATATTTATGTGTATGTATCAAACATTATGTCAAAGAAAGAGGAAAGAGAGGTCTTGAGGGAAAAAAGTGAAACAATTCCACTTCCTCCATACCCAATGAGCAAATGCAGTAAACTGGAGAAAAAACATTTAGCTGTTTTGAGTTAATGAGCTGGACCCCTGAAGGGAGTTCATAACAAAACTTTAGACTCACATCCTTGTTTCATTTGTTCGTCCAGTAAACACTGGCTGATGTATATGCCATGCTAGGTGGTGCCCTTAAGGAACTGCTCATGAGCCAAAGGGGAAGAGGAACAGAAAACCATCACTAGAGGACATAGTAATAAGGAAAGCCTGTTCTAAGCCAGCCTGGAGAGATTAAGGAAGGCTTCCCAGAGAAGATGACAGAGGTACTAACCCTATAGAATTGAACAGAAGTATTCTAAATGGACAAAACAAGTGAGTTGGCACCAGGTGGTACTATGGAGAGCACCAATGGTATACATCTCTTTCCAACTCCACTTTAGGCATCTATTGACAGCATGGAATTGATTGTGGTGGGAATGTTTACACCAAGGAAATTGGCAAATTCCATATATCAGGGTAGCCTGCCCCCTACCCCAGAACACCAGTGGAGGTGAGCATTACCCTGGAGACTTGTGTTGTACATCATAGGAGCACAGTGAGGAAGGAGAGGATGAAGTCAAAGCCTAAAGGAGTACATTCCTGGGCTGAGGGAAACTTTGGGGTAACAGACAGCATGGAGTACAACACTTTGAGCCTGAATCCCAGCCTTGCCATTTCTTAGAGAACAATCCTGGCAAATCATTGCATCTCTCTCAAGGTCAGTTTCCTCATCAACAACGAACATTCAACAAGGTTTTATATGTCAAGTACTGGCACAGTACTGGAAGCATAGTCAGGTCCTCAATGTGGATTACTTATTATTAGGCTATAATTTTTATTTAGTGTTTCAAGGATAAGAAGGAAAATACTGACAACGATTAAGGGGAAAATCTTCTAACCCCATCTGCCCATGATTGTAGAATGGTGAAAAAGATACCTCCTCTGAAGAGAAATGGTTTACAAAACAAAATTTAACTTAAAAAAAAAACTCAAGGGCCTCCCCAGTGGCGCAGCGGTTGAGCACTAGGCTGCGAAGCTGCCCGCAGCCTCTGCAGTGCCGGTTTGATCCCCGGGGCCACCAGCGAGGGTCCCACATGGCGAGCAGACCTCTCCTGCCACGCCCGCTGCTCCCCTCAGCAGTGTTCTTTGTCAGTCTGCCTGTTCTGCTCCCCGCTCTGATTCTGGTGATTCTCTCACCCTCCTGCGCTTCTGACTGTACCCAGTGCTTGTATAAATAAATCTTTAAAAAAAAAAAAAAAACCTCAAAATTGAAAAACCCCATGTGAAAAAACAGGAGATGGCATTAAATAAGAAGAGTATACGTAAATTGCTCAGCATGGCTGCTCATACATAGTACATTTTTAATAAACACACTTTGGGTCCTTTATTTTCAGAAATGTTGCTTCAGGTGCCAGGTCAAAGAAAGGGCTCAACTGGAAAAAAATAGAAATTGAAAAGGAGAAAAAAACTTAATGCATTGTAGTAAGGCATATAATTTTACATAAAGTGAAAGGCATTGATTTCAATGTTACAACAGAATGTGAGCTTTGACATCCTAGTACTATCATACAGCTACCACCAAAGGCAAGATGTAAAATAATTCAGTTAACCCAGAATCACCAATCCCCACTGGTCCCTGTCAACCAGCCTTGTTCTCAAAAATATCCTTACAACATCTCCTAGTCAATAGAACCCAAAATATTGGCAAGGACTCTATGTAAGACCACATGGTGACACCTTAAAAGGCAGGGACGGGTCATTTAGCCCCTTACCTTCAATACTGTGCCTTTGTGCAAGGGAGCAGCAGAGACACTGGGCCTCTTCGCTTTCCCCTGGTGGCCACATCACACCTGTCATTCCAAGCATGAGTACACAAACACTTTTACATGCACCAGGGGCTCACTCTGAACTCCTAACTTAGAGTGAAGAAATCTTCTCTTACATTTTTTAATTCTATTCCTAGCTGTTGAAACAAAAGTGGGGATTAAGAGATAAGCACAACCAATGGAATCTAACAATATACCTTTGATTTCCTCTCATCCCCAGACAAGTTGTCTACCCAGAGCCCAGGGGAGGAGAGGTTTTCTCTAAAATCATTGAGGTCAACAAGCAGCACTATTTTGGGACTCTCCAGGTCTGGAAGCTGCTTTTCCACTTCCCTAGGCGTCAGGCTGGAGCCCCACGGCACTCTGATGTCTTTTTCCCTCTGTCTGGCTGTGGTTTTCTGTGCTCAGAGGGAGTTTCACCCCATCCTCTCCCTCCCTGGAGAAAAGAGGAGTCTGCATCTATGAAAAAAAAAATTATTGAGACCTACTATGTGCCCAGCACTGTACTAGGGAATTTCAAGCATGCTATTTCCATTATTCTTTTTGACTTATCTTTATTGCTTTTCTGATTTTGAAAATAATATATGCTTTTGTAAAAAAAAATAATAATAATGCACACATGACCTTGACAGTTTTTGTGACCCCCTCAGAGCTTCTGTTGCTTCTGCTATAAAATGGGAATATGAACGATGCTGTATTGTAGGGGGCAATGCCCCATAATGGTAATGGTATGTCCAGAGATAATTGATGTTGATATTTTGGAATACTTTCTCCCATATTGCTGTCTTTACATTCATCAATATTTCACAATAATGAACAAAAAATAAAATCAGTTGTGTAATTGCTTTGTGACCTGTTTTTTTGAAGAATTTTGCATGTTAAAAGTATATATGTCTAAGAATTAGGTTTTATAAATCACTTGGCAGATCAGGGAACTGAAGATTATGAAATTTAAGCAACTTGCACAAAGTCCAGGAAATTCAAGTAATAGAGGTAAACTCCATTGAGCCTATATTCTTTCTATTCAGGTTCTTAGATAACCAATCATAGGGGGAAAGTAAGCAGTACAGGTACATGGAAAAACCAGATGGAGATAGCTCAAATAGAACTAATACATGATCAGGCAATCTGGGTATGTATCTGAAGGAAGTAAAATCACTATCTCAAAGTGCCAGCTATGCCCCCATGTTCATTACAATAGCCAAGATACAGAAATAACATAAGTATCACTGATGAATGAATGATGTTTTTGTCAATGACAGATCACATTGTGGGATGGCAGTCCCAGTAGGGTATATGATACAAGCCAGATGTGAAGTAGGCTGTATCATCTAGGCTTGTGTAATTATACTCTATGATATTCACACAATGACAAAATCACCTAAAGCACACTTCTCACAACATCATTCAATGATGCATACATATGCATATACATATATAGTGGAATATTATATACCCATGAAAAGGGAGGGCCTACCACTACAATAAAATGGATGGAGTTTGATGACATTACAAAATAAGTCAGAAAGAGAAAAACAAATATTATATTGTTTCATATTAAAACCTAAATCAGCCAAACTCAGAAACTGAGAATGGGCTTGTGGTTACCAAGATTAGGGGAAATGAGAGATGATGGTCTAAGGTCACAAAATCCAGTTATACCATAAATGAGTTCTGGAGATCTAATGTACAGCATGGTGGACAATTATTAGAGACTTGAAAATTGCTAAAAAAAAAAAAAAGTAGATCTTAAATGTTCTCATTGCAAGAACAAAGGGTAATTACATGAGGTAAAAAATGTGTTAACTAACTTTGTTATGATAACCATATACGTGCATCAAATCATACACTGTACACCTTAATGTTATATGTCAATTACACCTCAAGAAAGATGGAGGGGGAAAGACTTGATGTAAGAAAAACTAGATTTATAATACTGACCTTGCCACTTATACTAGTTTACGACCCTAGATATTTGCATGATTTCTCTGAGCCTTAGTTTTGACTCCTGTAAAATGGGGATCAGAACAGTGACAACCTCATAGCATTGCTCAGAGCTTTGAGTAAGGAACACATTTATGAAGGTTCTATCATGTGTCAGGTGCTGTGCTAGCCTTGGGATTCAAAGACAAGTGGGACTAATTCCTGACCTCAAAGGATTGACAGTAGAGACATTTGTGTGCCCGAAGTTGAGACACACTCATGAATGGGGTCATTTGGGGAGCATGAAGGAGGGAAAGATCAGCATGTGGTGTGGGCAGCCTTTGGCAAAATGCATGGAGAAGCACAATCTAGCCTACAAATTGCTTTATCTGCTATAAGAAATGCAGATCCTATGATATACAACAGAAAAAATAATTATTTTCTGTAAAGTACAGTACCTGACTATAACCAGTAAGTATCATTTCTCACTAAATGTCAATATGCATCAACTGTTCTCTGCTTAACTAAACAAAATTTCCTGATTTCAGTGAAGTGCTCAGGATAAAAAAGGCAGCAGGGCTGAGGACCCCAGCTCAGAGGAGGCCACAGACAGTGGCCCCAGCTGAGGCTAGGACTGCAGAACCACAGAATAGTCTATATCCTAAAACCTCGGCAGGAAAACTCCAGGCCAGGGTGGCAGTTACAATGAGGTTTATCTGTGTGTAAACCCAAAACAGTGGTGAAGGTAGAAATTTCTGCCTCTCTTCTAGAAGGCAGTGCCTTCTAGAACTGCCTAGGCAGCTTCTCTCTTTTCTTCTGCCACATGGCCTCATCCTGGTGGCCAAAGATGGAGCTCCAAGCATCAGGTCCATGACATAGGAAGAGGGATGAGGGATGAGGGAAGAGCTAAGATATGCCCCACCTACATCTCATTGACCAGGCTGAGTCACACCTTGTGACTAGTGAGTCACAAACCTACACGGAACACTGGGAAATGTGGTCTCTCTTCCAGGCAGTCATGTGCCCATGTTCGTGTACATAGTTCCAGTACTATGTACAAGAAGGGAAAATGAGTTAGACTCAACTAGCAGTCTCTGCCTGTCAGGATTTCTTGCCCAAAATACATTTAAGGTCCTGGATCCAGGAAATCTATAGCATATAGGCATCAAGAGGGTAGGGTAGTCAAATTTCCTAGAAATTACCCCAGTATTCCATATATACTATTGCATAGAACCTGAGTGTGATGAGGTAGTATAAGATCAATAAGGCATAATTGATCTTGAAAGGGAAATTATCCAGGAAGCCTAATGTAATCAAATGATTCCTTAAAAGCAGAGAAATTTCTCTATTGGTAGAAGAAGAAAAAGTCATATTTCAAGCCCCATTACTGGTTTAAAGACAGGTCACCTGAGATGGAAAGTGGATGGTCTTTGGAGCAGAAAGCCACCCCAGCTGGCAGCCAGGACAGGAAGCTCATAGAGAACTGATTCTTCCAACATCATGAATGAGCTGGGAAAGTCTTTCCCAGAGCACCTTGGTAGGAGTCCATTCAACCTTCACCTTGATTTCAGCCCCAGAAGGCCCTGAGCACAGAACCCAGCCCTGTTAGCCTGGACCTTGGACCTTGAGAAAAGGGAGCTAACAGATGGACCTTGCTTTAAGTCACTAAGTTTGCAGTAATTTGTTCCACAGCGATAGGTGACTAATGTAGGGGGATCCTTGGTTTCCACCCTGTGTCCAAGCCTGCTACTTTGGCCGATGATGTATTCTCAGAAATGTGTTTGAAGCTTAAATGAAAGTTAACTCATAGACTTAAAGGTTATAAGTAGAAGGTTCCAATACCAGAGAGATAAAATATTTATGAAACCCCTAATTACACCTTGCCATTAGACACAACCCTCAAAATACATCCATTCTATACATAGTCCTTCCAGTTTGCTCTTTTCCAATTCAAGCCAAGTCAACCTCCCTAAATCAATGTGTCTCCAGTGAGGCTAAAGATTTTACTATTTCAAGGCACCTCTGAGTTCCATCTCTGTCACCATTGTGTTAAGTTCATGGTCACCTGCATCAAAACACATTTGCCATTCATTTCTATAAAACAATAAAAACAAAATAACAATAATGTACAAACATTGGTATAAACACTGCTCTGAAAACAAGGATAGTCTAATCACTGAAGCTGGACCCAGGGCAGGCAGCATCAACACCATGGCTCAAAAGTCTATTTGGTTGGTTGACCTATGGTCCAGATCAGTCAACAGCAGGCCACTCAAAATGCCCATTTGGGTGTGGGGGTGCAAGTCAGATTGTGGTGCCAAGGACCCCTGCTACACAGTTCAGAGCCTGTCCTGGTCCTGTTGGGATCCCTGCTCCTAATTCTGCTTCATTCATTGACTCCTCTCCATGTGCAAAGGGTCATATTTTGGTCACATCATTCACATTAATCTGCTTACAACTCTCATCCTCTCTGACAGAATCTGCATATAACAGCTGAGGTGTTATAGGCATATTTTCATCCTCTAAGACCCAGATACTCATTCTCTGCAAGTGCACAAGCACAGGTCAGCACCATGCTAGCACTTAAAGCTTCTTTACTCCTAGGTTCCATGACTTTCCTAGGGCAGATGCAACAAAGACCACAGACTGGGGAACTCCAGCAGCAGGAATGTGTGTCTCACAGCTGCCGAGGCCAGGAGACCAAGGTCAGGGGGTCAGCAGGGTGGATTCCTTCTGAGACCTAACTCCTTTAGTGTCCTGTCTGCCCTGTGTCTTCACATCATCTTTCCTGGTGTGTGTCTCAGTGTCCCAGTTTCCCCTTTTGATAGGGACTCCAGTTATAATGGATTAGAGCCCAACCTAATGACCTCTTTTTAACTTAATTATCCTCTGGGGGGTAAAAAAAAAAACTCTATTTTCAAACATGATAACAATCTGAGGTACCAGGAATTAGGATTCCAATACATGAGTTTCGGGGGGACACAATTCAGGCCCTAACAGATGTACACTCTGCAAAGTGTTCCTGCTGCCTGGTAGCCAACAATATGCTGTCTCTCTGGTCAGTACCCTCTCAGCTTTACATCTCGCTGTTTTCATCCTCTCAGTCCACATCTCCCAATTGAGGTAACAAAGGAAAACCTCTAGGGTTTTTTGGCTAGACTGGAATATATCAGATTTCAGGCTTTTTGCTCATGGCCTTTGTGGCCCTTCCAGGCCATTGTACCATGTGACACCATCCCAAGTAGGAGCAGGTCAGACGTCCACTGAGGCCTCATGTCAAGGTGCTCTGCATTACCAGGCAGAGACATGGGTCTGAGGAAGGCAGCCTCACAGGGCACAGCAGAGATGCCCTCAGGGAGGGGCCTGCAGAGCCCTCAGGTTGGATCATTAACTGAAAGCTAATGGCATCCTCCCTGCCGGTAGCAGGAGTCTGAGCCCACAGATGCAGCAAAAACCTGCAGGTAAATCCTATTGGCCTGATCCAGGTGGAGTGACCAGCTCCAGACCTCACCCCTCCAGACCCAGGCACCCCGCAGGCTGAGGAAAGAGCGATCCCTCTGTGTAGTAGCTCTCACAAGGACAGAGACTCTCCCACGCCACCCCCCCCCTCCTTCTTAGAACTTCATTTTTCAAGACACTCAAGAAAAAAAGTCACAAAACTTGGAAAGTGAAAGAGCAGGATTCAGATCCAAGCCTGCCTGCCTTCAAAGTCTGTTACGTTACTCTACCTTCCCCGAAGATCCCGCCGCTGTTCTCCAAGGCTCATAAGGGAATGCAAGGAATCCCACAAGTTGGAGCATGAACTTCACTGTCCCCAGAAGTCCAGACTCTGAAAGCTATAGACAAGAGAGTTTAGTGACTGGGTTTTGGGAATATTTCTCCATTTCCCATTCTCCATTACCCAGCCTCCCCTGAGACAAGGGAGCTCGAAGCTGGCCTTGTAACTGGAGGGAAAAGCCACGTGAACAAACACAAATGTGGCTGACCCCCTCTTCACTCTCACTCACACCCACGTTTCCAGCCCCTTTCTCTTAGACCTCCAGCCATTTTCTCTGCATCTTCTTTTTTTTTTTTAAAGATTTATTTATTTATTTATACAAGCACTGGGTACAGTCAGAAGCGTGCCAGGGTGAGAGACTTCACCAGAGCCAGAGCAGGGAGCAGAATAGGCAGACTGATGAAATACACTGCTGAGGGGAGCAGCGGGCGGCAGGAGAGGTCTGCGCGCCATGTGGGACCCTCGCCGGTGGCTGGGGATCGAACCAGCGCTGCAGAGGCTGCGGGCATCTTCGCAGCCCAGCGCTCAACTGCTGCACCACCAGGGAGGCCCTTCTCTGCATCTTGATCTTTCCCTGTGCAAACCTCAACTTCTCTTTAGAATGGGGAGGGTGGGGGGATGGAAGGCAAGGGGAGCTGGAAAGGGCCATCATCTTCCTTGGAGGCAGCCAGGACTGGGCCCTCTGCCCCACCAAACATCACCCCCGGTGCTGCCAAGTGCGGGGAGGGGCCCTGGAGACGTGAGCCCAGGGGCCCCATTTTGGGACCCCATCACCAGACTGCCCTCGCCAGCACAGACACGGGGTTTGCCTCCCACAAGAGTGTCCATTTTCTCCTCAGAGGCCTGGAAGGTGGGCTGCTGGCCTCTCTACGTGCCCTGGCCCTCAGCTGGTGAGGGGGAGTGGGGGGACTGAAATTTCACTTTCTCAGAAACAGCAGATTCAGCAACTGTGGCTGCTACAGGAGACACAGATCTGCACCGGCTTGATTTCTCCAGCCTTTATCGCCACACAGAGAGCAAGAGCTATGACGCCCTGTCCGGCGGCCAAGGACTCACCTCGTCTGGTATCCGTGAAATGATACCCTGGCCTCCACGGTCGCCAGACGCCTCCTTCCCCCAGCGCTCGTGGTGCTGGGGTCCCCACCTCCCTCCCCCAGGAAAGCTGCCCCCAGCCAGGACAGACTGTCCTTGCCTCCAGGAGAACCAAGTCCCTTCCAGAAACTGAGTCAAGTTCAGGCCGTCATGGAGGTCATGTCTCCCGGGGACTGAAACTCCACCTGAGCCTTGCTAGGGGGAGGGGAGCCTTTTCCTCCAGCTCCTTCCTCTCATCCTGGGATCCCCTAGGGGGATGTGCAGCTGCTGAGAAGGAGGCAGGTAAGCAAGCAGGAAAAGAGTGGTCGCCTTGGGGCTCCCCCCAAACTTGGGGTTCTTATGCCATTTTTAACAGTGTGAGGCTCCAGTTAAAGCTAATCAGGGAGCTCCCATTCTCCCAGCCATAGCTGCGACCCTGAGGCTGAGTGAAAAGCCATGGGGAAATCCGGGAGGCAGGCAGGAGGGAGAAGCTGCTGGACGCCATCTGTCCACAGCCAACCTCCAGCCCCCAGGACGCCCTCTCCATCCAGGACTGGCCTTCCATCAGGCTGCCTGAGCCACATGGTGTCTGGCTCACCTTTGCCCTGACCTCTCCTCACTCCCATATCCCCCCATCTCTGGTATCCTCACCCGACTGTCCTGGCGCCCCAGCTCTCCTGGGACAGAGACATCCTCCTTTTTCACTCTCAGGCAAAGATCCACAGCGACTGTCTGTCCAACCCACTCACCAACTTCAGTCCAAGTCCCTGAAAAGTACTGGACTTTGGTCCTTCATTCACTCATCTGACAAACCCTCCCTGAACACTTCATTTGTGCACCACCCTGGGATCAGCTCTGGAGGCAAAAACTGACCGGCACCGGCTCTCTGCCTTCTCTGAGTTCTTAAGCTCGTGGAGAAAGAAAATAAGTAAAAAGACAGTGACAGGATTGAGGTTGTGTTCAACATCTTGGAGCTCTGACTCTGAGCCAGACCCCATAAAACAGGCACTTACGATATAAAGATGAATACAACATAGTCGCTAGCAGAGAATGGGAACATCTACCCGCAGTGTCTCACTGCGGCACGTTCATCCCAGGAAGCCCCTGAGAGCCAGACCTCCCAGGGGCCGTTGGGCAGGTGAATGGAAGACACGTTTTCTGATGGTCGTGAGTCTGCAACAGGTGCTGCTGATGCACTGCCTGTGTCTGTCAACACTGACGGTTTCTCACTGCAATTCTCTCCCGGAGCATTTTCAATGGCCCCAGAGCCTGCCGAGCCCCATACCCTCGGCCCCAGAGAGGGCAGGCAGTAGCAGAGAACAAGATGCCGCTCCATGGCAGAGCAGCCCTCAACTGTGATGGAGGGGAGCTGGTAGCTAAATGCCCCAGCTTCCTCCCACCCTACCCGCACCCCGTGCTGGTGGGGACAAATGGGAGGAATTGGGAGGCATGATCATGCCCCTCTTGCCAAGACGGCAACCTGTTCATTAACGCCACGCTCGCTTCTCTCCTCTCCCTGCCCATTCGCACCTTCACCAATGCTCCCGGGATCACCGCCCAAGGTTGCCACCTGCACCAGAGTCCTTCCAAGGACTGCTTTGGGAGAAGCCCAGCCTAAAGCAGTATTCAAAGCTTTGCCCACATTTTGGTCCCCCGGCAAGTTCCTGCTTAACTCCCCAGAAGCCCTCTGCCCATGCGGAGTCCATCGTTCTCTCCCAATATGCCAAGGGCACTGTCTGACCTTGGCCCATGCCGTGGACCCAAGCTGGAACCTCCATCCAACCCCTCGCTCTGCCTCTGCCAAGGCTGTTCAAAAGAATTCTTGATTTCCTCCAAGGCAAATGTGGGTCTGTCTCCTCCAGGAAGCCAATCCAGCCACCCGTGTCCTGGGGCAGAACTGCAGGGGTTTGTGTATCTGTGTGTGTTCGTTGCTCGCTCCCCTGCCCTCCTGGCCTGCCGAGAGCTCCGCCTTGGGCTCCCTGGTCTCCCTTGGGCTCCCACACACTTCGCAGTGTGCTTTGAGGAAATGCAGAGGGGGTGGAGAGGGAACCAAGAAATGCTGAGAAACGTGATTTCTTTACTTCTGACATCCCTTCTACAGAAGAGAAAAGGAGAAATTAAAGAAAGAAGGAGCCAGTGTCAACAAGGGCAATGTTTGAGAAAGAATTGGAAGAGGGAGAGCAGGGCGTGGAGGGAATGTGGACGAGGAAGGGGCAGGGAGGGGGAGGAGGGAGAGAAGGAGAATTTAGGGGCCACTTGGAGCCTCAAATAACTGGCTCTTAGGGAGAAAATAAGTAATTCTTTTTTTTTATTTTTTACATTTTATCTCCCATGAAGTGAATCTTTCCTTTTTGCTTTTATTTTTTTCCAGCTTCCATAAAAAGAGTCCTCTTATTTGTGGATTTTGGCAACACTCTGGCTACAAACAGTTCACTTTATACAATGCCACGTCTTGAAATCTTAAAGTGGAGGTTAAAAAAAATCTCCATTTTACCCAGAAACAGAGGCCCCCACCTGGGAGTTCTCAACCCCCAGTGAGTGAACTGTCCCGCTGTTGGCAGGGACAGGGCAGTTGGCAGAGCCTGGGCCCACATCCAGGCTCCCTGGACCAGAGCTGGGGAGGCCCCTGACCCTCCACCCGGTGGTCCCAGCCCTCTCCCACCTTGCCCCGAGTCTGACAAGCCTCCCTAATGGATTGACCGTGGCCTCTGCTGGAGGGGCTAAATATAAAACTTTGCTGCGCTCCTCTTGTCAAAGTTAAAAGCTTTTCATGTCTGTGTTAATGTTTTTTTCTGTCTGCTGGCTCCAGTGACAGATGCAGCATCTCGCGCAGAGTAACTGGAGAGTGAGTGGCTGGCAGGGGCCGGGGAGGTAGGGGTAATTCATCTCGGAGGGTTTAAGCAGGATGACATGGCTGCGAACGGGGAGGGGGGCAGACAAGGCTGTCACCTGATTACTAATTCCAAGATTTCTCCTCCGAGAGGGAGAAGGAGCGAGCAAGGAGGAAGGAACAAAAAAGCAAATCAATAAACAGGTTAGCGTCAGCGTCATCATTAACTCTCAGCCTGTCAGCACCCCATTGAAGCGATCGCTCCAGGCGGCCTCGGATTTAATGGTCAGTGCAATAGATTTACTGTAAATGTTATCAGAGGCAAGGGCGGGGGCAGGGGGCGTGAGGAGGCCTTCATTGACAAATCATCGGATTGCGCCTGGATGCATGAAGCCATTTCTGAATGTGCATAAATAACCCAGAGCCTAGGTCCTGCATGGCATCTCCTCCCTATGATTTAAATGCTGCACCCTCCTATCCTTGCATCCTTCACTCCTGCCAAAGGCCAGGAAACATGCCAAAGGCCAAGTTTCCCCAAGTTTCATCTTTCTAAGGGCCTCCTGGGCTGACCCTGGATATGTGTGACAAAGGCCAGGCAGCAGGTCTGAATCAGGAGCCTCAGGGTCCAAGGACTGTCAGAGAGCAGGGAATGACCCCAGACCTCTGAAAGAGGGCCAAGGGTCAGGGGCAAGTGAGAAGCCCCTGAAAGGTCAATCCTCAAGGAGGCACTCCCTGAGCTCAGGATAGAAGGTTTGAGGATGCCTTCTTGATCTCCCTCCTGATCACTTTCCAAACCATTTCCTCTGATCCTTCTATCTCCCGTGCTTGCTAACATCAAATTCTTTAGACACCAAGGTTGGTGCACAGACTTGACTAAATTCATTCATCAGAATGTACATTGCTACCCTGCCCTATTGCCATGACGGAACAGGATCCAGGGGCCGGTAGAGACAGGAACCAGAGAATATAGGTCAGCAGGCAGGTGTTTTTGAGAACAGGCCTGCTGTGTTCAGGCTGTACACTGCACAAATCTAGGGCCTGTCATTCACATCACAATCCCTGTAAGTGGCACCCTATGGAATTGTGCCATATGCAACCTTCTCAGGCTTGTGCAACAGTCCTAACAAAGAGGCAGCACCAGGGTGGGCAATAAGGGG